ACTTTAGTCTCTTCCATCACATAAGAGAAAAAAAAACCCGGATCACAAACTTTAAACTGTTGGTTAATCTTTGTCTCACCTTTAAATACGCCGCACACCTATAACAAGAACAGCCAGTAGTCGGACATGTCTTTTTCAGTGGACGTGGATGTGCTGCGATCGCACATCGGGGCTGAAAACTAGCAAATCAAATCGTTAGCCTTGTATCTTCCACTCTGATGGACTCATAATACCAGTGTACTGAAGTTGTACTATTCTACTCTGACTTTATGTAAATAATCAGATGTTTTGATGTAGAATTTTATATTTTTATATCAAAATGACAGTACTGTGCTACGATGGAGGTAAGAGTAGAGCCTTAACTTATGAAAAACTTGATTTTCTAGTCACGAGGTTGTCCAGAAGATCTCACTGAGATTTAGTGTAAAGCCTCCAGCTGGAACGGTTTACTGGTATCTTGTTTTATATCTTATCCTGATACCAAGAATGACCATGTGTGCTCTGCTTAGAGCTCCTAGACTTTATGGCTTTGTTGCTACATTTTGAGACTGACCAAACACCTGTGGTAGCCCCGCACAATGAATGCCAATTATCAAGATGATCATACTGTATTCACTGTGGGTGTTGAGTTGTGTACACCAGCGTAAGCATATGACCATCATCATGTTTGGTGTCCTGTTGTATTGTGTTAGTGGTTTGGCAAAATCACAGTATTATCTAAGGTGGTCCATCTTCATGACTAATGGGCAGGCATGTTAGTCAAATGACAAATAACACTATTCACCAGCCAAAAGGCAAAACATTTTAAGCTGTGGTTTGTCTGATCTACCAGCTATTGTTACAAGTAACCAGCAGTTTGTAGGTTGTTTTCTAGTAAAAATGTAGCAAGTAAAATGATGAATGTAATCAGTTAATAAGAATCCATCAGTGATTGTGGTTGGCAAGGAAACAGTGAAAGCTTGATTTGCTTAAGAGTCGTTCCAATTACTAGTATTGGAAACGCCTCGTATCCTGATTAAGATTAGGTAACTGGCATCGTAAGATATCAGTCAGTGAACCACTCTAAAGGTTGTCCAAAACGACAGCAATAATACTTATCACGGCTGCTACTAGTAACCACTGTTTCAGAGTGGCAACATAGAAGTGGTTTCCTTCAATTTATCATGTGATGATGGCAAAGAGCAGAAGTACAGAGAGAAAAATATCAGGATTCAGTGTTTTTATTGTAAAACATTTTAATATTCCTCAACAATGAAAATAAACTCAGTTAAGATATTTAAAATGGGCAAAAACTGAAATCAAACTGTTTCATATTCGAAAGGAGGGTTTCTCAAACACACGATTCAGTCAGGTTGAGCTATGACCGAGCTGCTGCTAACGTTGGCTTAGAGGTAAAGATTCCTCCAGTGTACTGAGACCATATAACAATAAAAGAAAATTGTATCATTTCCCTAATGGGCTAGTAGAAAATTACTATTAAATATAAAATTAAAATATTATTTTCCAAGCACAGCTACTGGACGGGTACATCGTCTCTGCGAATCCTCATCGAGGAGGACAATATGATATCAGGACATTTCTAGTTACCCTCCAGTCTAAGATTTCATAAAAACCTGCAGGCCAGGTGTAAAGAAAATAAGACTGGATATCCCTTTCTTTCCAAAAAACTGAGCATTACATATGTTCAAATTCATTATCAGTGTTGTGTGTTTTTTGGCACTACATGCCCACTGCGTTCCAATTTTTGGAGTCTCAGGGTTGTAGCATGAAGCTTTGTCTGGCAGGAGATTGTGTGTTGTTGACGCAAGAACTTGTCAGCGTCTTGATAATTACGGGGTCTTAGAACTGACCGGTGTACCACTCAGTATTATAATTATGTAACAGTGTGTGTTGCAGTGCTGGACTTACAAATAACATGTTTCATGTTTGTTTTCCATCAGTGATGATCCCTCAGGCAGTCAGGAGAAAAGCTGTTTGATTATTGCTCTTGAGTGATCCGATGTTTTTCCAATCAAACATTCAATTTGGGTGAAGAAATAAAAACACAACACTTTTTAGTCCATTTGGATGTGACAATAGCTTCAAATGTTTTGCAATGTTTTAATGAAATGGTTTTTTTTTAAAAGGTTACAGAAAAGTAACTGATAACTTGTAAGAAAAAAAGGGGACATCCCTCCAAGTAAACTGTGTGTTTTTTGTTGTTTTTATATTTTTGAAGTACAAGTGATGTTGGAACTAAGCTGTCTTTACTGAAGTCTCCAATCCATGTTTGGTTGATATGTGTTTTTGTTTTTTTTGTACTTTGATTTTTAAAGCTAAAGAATCGGCCTCTGTATTGTCAGGATTTGTGTTTGAATTATTGATTTGCACATGAAGGCATGTACTGTAAAAGTTGAAATCATAACACTGAGGGCTTTTGTTTGCTCAAGTAGCGGGAATTTGCCCCCCCACCCCCATTGTTTTGCATGTGAGTTTAATATCTTTGAAAAAAAAGAAAAACAACTATCAGATGCAGGTTCATGCAGTTTATTCCTCAGGCACAGTGCATCAGTGTAGTTTCATCATCAGTTTACTGTTACAATAAAAAAAAAGTATTGATATTCAGCCAGATCTGATCACACGCTCTTATTGCTGGGTCTAATGTAGATTTGAGAGGATGACATGCAGATATTCTCTCTTTTGAGGGTCATTCTACATTAAGACAAATCTTGTGGGTTTTAAATCATGTCATTTTTACAAGCCCTTGGATTGAATCGACTTTCATTAGCATTTTAAGTTTTGTTTTCACTCCTGCTATAATGTATTTCACCACTATATGCCCCGCTTCATTTGTTTGACTTTTGAAGCATTTTAATAAAGAGGCTCTGTTTGTAAATGCTTTTGTTTTGTTTTGACACCTGATACTTTTTTGGTGAATCATGTTTCTTCAATGATGAACAGTTGCAGGATAAGATTTAAAGAAGGAAGTGGAAACTGATCACAGCTTTCCAAATTCCTGACTCCAATGCAACAAGCATAAAGTCATTTCTTTTTGACAGGCCGACGGTCGTCAAGGGAAACATGAATTAGGTGAATAAACTTATAGTTCATGTTGATTTTCAAGTTATCAAAGCAAAACAATCAATTAGATCAAATAATTTGACAATAACTTATTTGGGCTGTTTGACCTTATTGAGAGGGCAGGACAGCGAGCTAGTCGGGCACTGGGATGAGAGAGTGGGGGATGACTTGGTAAATAGTGGATGGTGGGAAAGTGGCCCCAGCTTTGGGGTCTGTAGTCTGTTCATGGGTCACGTGATTTAACCACTGAGCTAAACCAGCACCACCAGCTTCAATTATCTCAAATTTCCTCAGAGTAAATAAATACAAATAATACAGTTTTCTGAATAGATTCTTCCTGTATATAAGGCAGGAGTGATGACTCTTTTTAATTTCATATCATGGTAAATTTACATCTCCAGCTTTCCTTTACACCACTAGATGGCACCACATTCTTGCAGTTTCACCATATCACATGAAAAGGAGTGAAATATCTCTGCAATCCCTCCTATGAGATGAATCAGCATGTGACTCATTCTAATGTGTGAATATAGTACAGAGTACTTCCGAGTACATTCGTTACAATAAAAAGTTGGATCTTAGTTATGTCATTGAAATTAAAAGCCTCACAATTTGACCCTGACAGCTGATTTTAACATTCTATTGTGACAGAAGAAATATTTGTCTTTGTTTGGCACAGGACGAACAGGAGGGATGGCCTTTTTGCCAACAGGCCTTTTGAGTATTTTCCATTGGATTTCAGCTTTTTTTTCACAGGACAGATTATGTTTTTAGTTAACGAAAAAAAACTATACTTCTTTAGATTTCATCAAATGCTTTTTTTAAGTAGGCCAAGAAGAAAGACGACCATCCTGTTGTAGTCGGAAATGACTGTAAACTCTTTTAGAGACATAAACAAGCCTGAACATTGTGTGCTTTCATTTACAATCAGGGGGTTTGTATGACTACACTATAGTTGCAAATATTCACCTGCTAAGACAAAGCCGGCAGAAGTCACGATGAAACCTGGAATTCAGGCTTCCAGAAAATCATCACAGCCCAAATGAAATCTACTTTTGTGTTCAGTTTAAAACTTCCATTATCTACCAGGAGTGGGGTTCGAACCCACGAGGACATGCGTCCATTGGATCTTAAGTCCAACGCCTTAACCACTCGGCCATCCTGGTGAATACACAGAAACGCTTTGACCATACAAACTCAAGTCTAGCACTAAGCCCCAGGGCCAAAGGTCACTGAAATGTTAACACTTCTTTTGGCGGGAGGAATCAATAACTTTCAGTGACAACACAGACACAAAATTTCCCTCAAGAAGACCCCCAGGTTTTTTTAAACGTGTCCTGTTGCTACAAAGGGGGGCTGGGGGGGTTTTTTCATATCTGTGCATATCAGACTGAAGGCTAATAGCCCATGAGAACTACAAAAATGAGCGTATACCTTAACAAACCTATGACTCCACAGTGCAGACTCATTGTGCCAGTAAAATGCAGACCATAAACCACACCACACTAAGGAGGAAGCGCCGTTGTTACAGCCCTGAAACTAATTTCAACACAGAGCCGAGGCTGTAATTCAGCAAACACCCACTGATGATGATCATCTCAGTCACAGCCTCTTATAGACTTGCAGTTTTCACAGGAGGTAACTGGGAGTCCCCCAGTGGGTGATGGACTGCCACACACAGGAAAAGGAAATATCTTTTGATTTTTACTTTCATTTACTCTGAGAGGACAAAGAGATCGGCCCGCTGTGCAAACAGAAAGTCCTCTGACATGAATAGTTAATTATTCTCTGTTGTTGTCTCACTGTCCCCAGCAAACATCCATGTAGTATTTATGTCTGTTCTGTTTGTATAGAGAAAGCCTGCTCTGAACACTCATTTACTTGACTTTGGTTGTGTGCAAGCAATAAATATCATAAGTAAAGCTGCAGGGAAAAAAGCATGAAGGATGACACTGTTTATTCTTTTTAGAGTTGAGACAATACAAGAGAGTCACCTTGTACATGAAGCAACAAGTCTCGATAAACATGAGGCACTGATCTTTGGCTGGTGATCGCTTTAAACCAGGGTAGCAGACTTTAAGTTACACAATCCACTCAAATCTATCTCACCTCCCCAGTTAACCACAATCAGAGGATATGTTCTTTCTAAAGACTTGTTAAGCAACAGCTGAAATAAGAAGTACACCTTCCGTAAGTGCCAGTTTCCATGAAGCTGTATTCAGAGTGTGAAAAGTGGTCTATATATATATGTATTAAAGCTACTCTAAAGCACGTATTCACACTACTTACATGTTTTGAATATCACTACAAAGTTTAAAGCTGAAAGTTGAAGGGTAAAGCTTACAGCTGTACTGACTTACAACTTAGATGTGTTTGCAGTTATCATGCAAAATCCGGAAATGCAACACCCATATCTCACTTACCTAATTTGCATATGAAAGTGTAGTTTGAAATGAAGACCAGCTCAGAGAAGAGATTTAAACTAGAGTGTGACATTTGATAGAACTTCTGCTTACAACATTAATACATTTGATCGAAATACACTGAAACATTAAGGCCTGACTGATGCATCATGTGGCCAATAGTTTCTGATACCGGTTGATTTCAAACTATAACTGATCCATATAATTTTTTTTTTTTTTTTTTTTTTTTTACAGATCATGTTATGTAAAGAACAATGCATGGGTTGATATAGACATGGTATGATTATGAGGTTCATAAAGCATTTCCCTCTCTGACTCTAAAGTGTACTCAGCACTGCTTGCATCTCATGTAACAGAGACGTTCAGCCAAGCGGACCATTATTTACAATACATTGTGTTTAGTTCATGTGCATATTCACCAAGTGTAAAACTTTGTCTGCCACAACCGTCTGACTTTTCACCTTCATAACTGGTACTGGCGTCAGTCTCAAAATCCAACATATATCTAGCTCCAACCAAAATGAACGCAAGAACTACAGGCATATTTGCAATGTAAACAGATGTGAATCTAATCTAGATGTTCTGACGACATTGAAAAAATAACACTGATGCTGTCTCATCTGCAGCACGGGAAGCAACAACAAAACAGCTTCTTGCATGGATTGCTTTTCTTGTATTTCACAGCTTTCTTGATCTGAACCGTTGCTTTGGCAACATAGTCCTGAGTTGTCCCAACATTTGCCTCTATGTTATCCAGCATGCAGCCCTGCTCTTCCACAAGCAGGGCCATTTGGGAGAAGAGGTCATGAATGTCCCTGATGCGGCCCTCCAGCTCCAGCAGCTCCTTGTGTCGGTTCTCGATCTCGTTCAGAGCGGATCTTGCGGTCCTCCCCTCCAGGAGCAGATTATCCGAGAAGACGTTCCACTTGCCTGTCTCGATCATCTCATCAATTTGGTCCCTGCTCACCTCTTTGCCCATGATCTCCGCCTGCCTCTGGATGCGGGTCTTGCAGTTCTCCCTCTGGACCATCTCGGCCTCGTTGTACTCAGACATGGCATTGTGAAAGGCTGTAGTTAGAGAGATGTACTGTGAACGCACCATGCGAGCAATAGCAGATGTAGGCCCATGCTCCTCCTCAAGCTCTTTGCTTAGCTTTCCCAGCTTCTGAAGTCGATTGTAAATGGCTTCCCCCCTGGCCTTGATGTCCCTTCCGAGTGCGTTGGAGTCTCGCTTGATGCTGCTGAACCTCCTGACGGATGTGAGGAACCTTGTGTTCTGCTTCCCAAGCCGCTTCACGTCCATTCTGAGCAGCAGCATCTCCTTCCTGAGTGCCTGGGCCTCTTTGAATGTGCTATCCATCTCGTCCTCGCCCTCAAACACAATGGCTTGATGCTCCAGAAGCTCCTCATCGTTATATTCTGTGGGGCTCTGGCTCTCCTGAGGCCTGCACTCCTCCTCTGCAGCCTTTGAGGACAGCTCTCCCAGTCGGTCCCTCATCTCACCTGGAAGGAGGGGCAGGGCAGGGATCTCTTTAAAGAATGTTTAAGGAAAAATGCTTTGGCTTTCTGATGGAGATTTAGATAAGACGAACGATACCGCTCTCTCAAATATAAGAATATGATTATCTTATGTTAGCTTCGCTTAGCACAATGACTGACAACAGGGGGAAACAACTAGCCTGGCTCCATCGAAAGGTAACAAAATTCTTACTTAATTTTTTAGCACCATTAAGCTGGCTTTATATCATTTTATATTAAAGTATAACAAAGTGGAAGAACAACAAGTCATCATGTAATGGATGGTTATGTGCAGGACTATTCATGCTCCAGGAAGTCATGAAGAAATAGTCCAGCACATTACCACAAATTTGTATTGCAGAACTTCGTTTTCTAATGTTTTCTTTTTCTCAAGAGTCTTCTGTGACCTTGTGAAGGGGCCTCTGCGACGGGTTGGAAACCGCAGAATACATTACCTTACTGTAAAGACGTGAAAAAAAGCTTGACCACAGTCAGCTGTACTAGTTGAATGCTGCTTACACGATTCAGTATCAATATTTTACGAAATGCTAAATTACAAAGTAATCAGCAAAAGGCTCCATTTGTGCGCAGATCAAAACCTGTCCTTTATACTAAGAACGTTTTGCTGATGATACCGCCTGAATTTCTACTTACACTTAAAATGCAGGACAGTTTTCAGTGTTGTACTCTGACTTTTATTCATAGAAACAAATTTGAATACTTCTCTCTCAAATATTTTTTTTCAACTGGAAACATCCGCCACTTCCTTATTATACTCAATGGTTAAAATATGTTTCAAGTCATTTAGAGGAAAACAAGCCAACTCTAGAGAAAATGTTATATTAGGTCAATTTTTACTACTTTTATGTCAAAATTTGACAGAATACTGCTGACAGGGCACTATCAAATTGTGTTTCTTTAAGTATGAGTAGTTTTAGGGGGTTGTACTTAGGCCTATATCAGGGGTGTGTCCAGAGGTGTAGTATGGGTGAAATCCCAAAGTATGATTAGCTATCATCCCTATCAGATGCAGAACTTAAGTAAAATTAACTATTCTGGCTGTGTTGCAACAAGCTGCAGGTAGTTTTCTTTACGTGTCATTGTAGTATATTTATCTTGCTAGTACTCTCAGTTGTGAATAAATACTGTGCACATCTATTTCACAAGACAGGTTCTTAGGACAGGAATGATTCTATAAACATTTGGAAGCAACACTCTCTAACTAGCAATGTTTGGGTACTGAAACATTACCAATAAACAAATCAGACAATGTGCGAAAGTACTTTAAATTGTGACTTTGTGCATCTTTTTGAGTCCCCCAAGTCCTATATGTTGCAAAATTGTGTTACTAACACACAGATCAGTACAGATCATTATATTGGGGATAAAAGGGGTAAATACATTACATTAATTCACATGTGCGCACAACATTCATGCCAGTCCGGCATACATTAGTGTCCAAGGTGGGTCAACATGGTCAACACAAGTCTGGACACAACCCTGCCCTATATATTATAATCATATATTTGAAATGTAGTGTTGGCTGAATGGGGAGGGCGGAAGTGGATTTGAACAGGACCAAAATATTCTTTCTTATGATGGGGGATTTTTTTTTTGCAGCCTACGTAGGCCTACTTTAAATAATAAAAAAGAAAAAAGCCTACCTAAACGTTAGTCATTACCTGTCCCCACTTTAAAGAATATTGATGCAGTATTTTAAATGTAGCCTACATCAGAACCGAATTTATTATAAGTCATCACGGGGGAACTGATGGTCACTTCCTTAGATTTGACCCTTCAATCGTTTTCTTAGGTCTACGGGGCGTCGACTCAAGATTTCGGAGACTCTTTCAACTCGAGAGAAACTGTTTAAACCCTTAAATGTGACGTGCGTAATACACTTTTTTTTTGTTTTTGTTTTCACAGTTAAAAGAACTAGCCTTACTGTCAATCATCATTTCCCAAGACAGGTAAAAAAACAAATGAAGAAAGGGGAAGTCTTGACAGCAATAAGCAGGCCTCTAGCCTTTAGTTTGGTCCTGAAGTTATGACTCTATGAATCACTTGATCGATAACTGTGGTTCAATCGGTTTAAACTGTATAATAAAATAGAGTCTACATACCTTATCGAGTGATCCTCCGGTGTCTTACTCTTTGAAACTCACAAAAGAAGAAGCGACCACGGAAAGACTCATTTCCTCTTTTTGTCTCCGTTATAAATTTCAACACGCACAGGAGTCATGCATCTCGCAGGATATCTCGCATTTGCTCACTTCATAACACACACAGTGATGCAGCAGCAGCAGCAGCAGGTACTAATGCGGAAGATCACGCCTTCTCTCCCCCCTGACATTACTCACACTTCAGCTGTTCTCTGGACTCAGTCCCGCTCACCTATCGTCGTTTATTGAATATCAAAGCGCACAGGTGAGATCCAGTTTATTATCAGAATTTAAAAAATGACAGTTCTAGCCATTTCTTCATCTAATAAGAAATCTTTTCAGGTGTTCCACTTATTTAACAGAACAGACACACAAACCTTTTTTTTTTCCCAGCTTGAAAAAGAAAACATTTCCAAGTTCAATATTGACCTTTATCTTTGATAAAACAGTGTCATCACACAGAAGGCCCATTGTGTATTCAGTTTAAACGACCAAAACTTTGTCTTTGAATTTTTGAGGATGTCACCTCTAAGAGCCAACATCAAAGCTGCTGCTTACAAGAACAAGAATGAATATTTATATGTGGACAAGAGGTCCTAAAAGTAGACTCTAATATGATTCAGAGCCAAAACCTTCTTTTAAATACTGAGCTCATGTACACATTTGCTGTACAGAACTTGAATTTTCCCTTGCTGCTGCTTTAAATGTATATTCCTCGACAATTCCAAATGAACTGTCTTACTTTTTACTCAAGTCATTTTCTAAGAAAACAAAGGAGTAGTTTTGTGGCAGTTTAAGATTTAACAAACACAACCCAAAATTGGTCTTTTAGAATGTGACGCAGTCTGAAATAGTTCATTCTTGTTCTTATATTACATCTATTAAGCACACCAGATCCTAAACAACTTACAGTGCAACCCACAAGTAGATACAACCCAAAAATCACGAGATGAACATGACTTAAATAGCAAAATTTAAGATGCAATTGAAAAGACTTATTCAGCATTTTTCTAAAGCTGGTAAAGAACTCTAATGTAGCTTCATAACTTGAGCCATATTAAAGCAACTGTGGGCTTTTTAGCTTGTTCTAAAACAAATTAAAACTGATTTCTCTAAATTACCTGTATGAGGAAAAAAGGACCATCAGCAAGAAGATAACCAATTTTCTATATAGTAATATTTAAGGCCCCTTCTACTACTAAAATGTACCTGTTATCACGGCAAAACGGAGTAGAATAAAATATATGGCGAAATGTCCCCTTAGGGCTTCCTTACTTTTGTCAGTTAAAGACAGCAGGATGTTTTTGTAAGAGAATTCTATTTACATATACAGGACAAGGTCTAATCTAATCCGAATGTGTTTATAAAGCATTTAAAAACAACAAAAGTGCTGTACAATCAAACATAATAAAACACAATGAAACACAGACCAATGTAAAAGCAGCAGGTCATGAAAAGTAAAAAGTGTTAAGACATGTAGGAAGGGATAAAAAGAATAAAAGCATACTCTCAAGCAGAGTTGGCTTCTTCAGTCCTAATTAAAATAACATGGGCAGCAGCCACAGAACATCTTCTTGAAGGGGTTGTTTTTATCACATTCAGTTGCTCTCTCCAGTCGAACTGCCGCCTCCTGAACCAGCACTTCAGTATTTTGAACATTTTGCTGGATGTTTTCGATGCCTGCCCCCTGCTCCTGTACCAGCAAAGCCACATCCAGAAAAAGCTCCTTGGTCGCCTCGATCCTCTTTTCCAGCTCCAGCAGCTCTTTGTGTCGGCTCTCAATCTGCACGAGGGCTGAGCGAGCCGTTTTTCCCTCCCCCTGGACGCTGAACACATTCAACTCCCCGCTCTCCATCATCTCATCCAGCTCCCTTTCGCTGACCTCCCTGCCCACCACCTCCATCTGCCTCTGGATCTGCTGTTTACAGGCCTCCCTGTGGTTCATCTCTGTGTCGTTGTAGCTACACATTACTTCTCGCAGAGCGTTGCTGAGACACTGGTACTGAGTTCGAGCGATGCGTACCGTGGGGTCAGCGGTGCCACGCTGCTCCTCCAGTTCCTCTCTTAGATCACCCATCATGTGCAGCATCTGCAGCACAGCCTCACCCCTGCGTTTAATGTCCGCCCCGATTGCATTTGGGTCCCTCTTTGTCGCACTGGAGAATGAGGTCTGATTTAAGGTCTGGTAGTTCACATCTCTCAGCTCACTGATGTCATTCTGGATCTGCTGGGTTTCTAGACCAATCTGATTGGCCATCTGCAGGACAGAGTCCAGGTTCTGTTCAGGAGGTGATGAAGACCTTGATGTTGATGCTGTTGCTGCATCAATGTTTTGCTCTGCGAAATTGTCCAATTCTACTGTACTGAAACCCAGAGCATCGATCTGCACCTGATGGAGGTGCCCCAGCCGGTCTCTCATGTCTGAAACACAAACGACACAAAAGCCAACAAGAGAAGAGATTTGAATTCATTCATCCGGTTGTGAGAATATTTCCAACATGTCTAGATGTGAGGTCTCTTTATAAGTTTATTCTGATGAGTAACAGGATGATTGAACTTGTTTCTATGACCCTCAAGGGGGGCAGGTAAAAAATGTACTTACAACACTGACACTTGAGTGTATCACCTGTTGTGATACACACGAAAGAGTGAGACAATCTCTTAATACACTGCACCCTACATTCCCCACCTTTCAAAACGTGTGTGTCATGCATTTAACCTGAACACTGCTATAGAACAGTTTCATATGGAAACATGCAGCAGATACAGAGCAGGCTCATCGTTCATCCGTCCAAATGAATGGAAGTTGAATATATAGATTCTTTTTTGCTCTCTTTCTGGTCTCCACCAATTTCTGAAGAAAAGCTGTGACTTTTTTAGCCTCTTCATGCTTCTCTATGCTCATTAGCGTGTCGCTAACTTTGTCTGTATAATAATGTTTGATACTGAGCTAACGTACTGTGAGTTTTTGAGCTTTTCATATATGTTCTCCAGTGCAATTAAAAACAAAAAACGCTGATGTTAACAGGGAGGGTGAACAAAAACAGAATAGCTTATAGTTGTAACGCCATAACAATGAGCTAATCAGCAAAAAAAGGGGAAGCTGCAGGGCTTAGCTGTAATTCTCAGTGGATTAATCAAAAGGAACTACACCTTCTACTTAAAGCTAATTAGTAATCTTCGGCTTTACTCAAAGCTTTTCTTCTTTTCTGGTTAAATATCATAATAGTAACAATTGTTCAACTGAAAGAATCTGAGGAGTTAAGAGCTCACACTCCCTCTGTTAAAATAACCCACAATTGGGGCGCCAGTAGCCTAGCAATTGGTGCCCAATGTACAGAGGCTTTAGTGATCAAGAGCGGGCGGCTCAGGTTTGTCTCCAACCTGTTGGTCCTCTCCCGCATGTCATTCCCCACACTCTCTCTCCTGGTTTCTGACTGTCAGACACAACTGTGGCTGTTTACACCTCACTTTTACATCCATCCTGGGTGATCTGATCACAAGTGGATAGTGTAAGTGCTAGGATGCCTACCTATGCCACCTTGAGGATGGCTTGAGATCTGACAGCTCAGACCGTATGGAGGCGGTCTGGCATACATTTATCCACATTGGTTTGGAAGTGTACAGGCTCATTGCCCTGCTGAGTGTAAACAATGATGCATCAAGTCTTTTGAAACAGGCAGGCACTGATTTAAAGCTTGAGAGCTGTGGCTCAGGGGTTGAGTCAGTCGTTTCTCAACTGGAAAGTTGGGGTTCGATCTCCAGCTCCTGCAGCCACATTTTGAAATGTTCTTGGGCAAGACACTGAACCACAAATTACTCCTGCTGCTGAGTCAGCGGGGTGTATTTGTGTATGGATGGAATTAGTTAATACTGATGGTCACTTTGCATTGAAGCCATGCAGCCTCTGCCATCAGTGTGTGAACGGGTTAGCGCTTTGAGTAGTCAGAAGACTAGAACACAAGCTCATGTCAATTTACCAATCTTGTTTGCCTGTGAGGCAGGTAAGTGATATATGAATTCAAGTGCTCAAAGTAGACACATTGTAAACGGAAAGTGAAAATGCTCATACTTAAGTGCTATCCACTTGTTATCCGATCACCCAGGATGGATGTTAATGGAAACTATAAAAGGGCCAGAGCTTCATATTAAGGTGCCAACAGTTGAAAAAAAAAAGTGGCAAAGCACGCTGAGATAAAAGAATGAAGAAAGTATGTGGCCTGAGGACATTTTAAGTAAAGACACGATTTCTAGAAGTCGTCACTTTCCACACCTCTGTCTGATGAACTGAAAACCATTGCTGTTTGCCAGTGAATCAAAGCTGTTCCACAAGTTTAGCCCTTTTATAGCTGCACAATTCTGCACTAGATTTGACCTATAGTCATTTAAAAAATATATATTCCCATTCCTCTTAGTCCATACCTGCTTTCTTTGATTTTAAACAGTGTCTTATTTTGTGCTTTGTTCATTGACTGTGTCGTTTCCAGGATACTTTACAAAGATGTAATTACAGGCTGACGAGTAGATTGATCCGTGATTTGTGAAATATCTGTACATCATACTGAACATCCGCGCTCAAAAGCAAGAAGTCTTATTATAAAGGCAGACATAGTCTTGTATGTTAAAAGAGTTACAAACTGAAAAACAAATATGAGGCAAAGATTGATTTGGTGAAGTAAACAAGCATGTTGTAGGGTTTAATGCCTCTAAAACAGGCCTCAGTAAAGGAGGGAGGAACATGTAGAACCTTGATAGGTGTATCAGCCATGCTCGTTTTCCGACCTGGTGTCAGGTAATCTTACATGAATGTGTCCAACCTGCTCAGACATTTAATCTCCACTTAGGACTTACCAAACAAGTTTGCAAACAGAAAAGCGTAGTACATGAGTATCTCTAGATGCATAGTATGTGTTTTTAAGTGAGGCAGGATACTGATTTGGGTGTTTTAAGATAGATTGTAGCAAAACAGAATCATTATCCAGACAAAAAGTATTCGTTTCATTTTTTGTTACACTAGGACAGGCCTTGATTTCCTCACATTTATGCCAAAGAAATGCCATCTCAGGCCAACAAGAATAACGTAGAATATAGTCACATCTGCTGTAAAACAGTAGTTATATCTTACTTGTAAGTTAGAAGATTTTCTATCAGAGGTTCCAAGGCTCTTCTTCTTCTGTTGCAAAGGTTGATCATATAAAAGTAAATCACTCCGACAGGAAGCAGGACGACTGTGAACAAAGAAGGTGTTTGTAAAAATCATCTCTCTACACATCTGTTTAAGAGGAAATGTTTTCAGAAACACAACTTTCTGCATTCCTGCTGCATCACATGGAGGCATAAGGGTCACGTACATACAGTGAAAACAAGCCTCAGGAGGTTTCTTTATAAATATAATAAACAACATTTCTTGTTTACATTTTTCTATATCTTAAGGCAACGAATGGTTAAGTATTTTTCATTTATTGTCTGATTTTTGAGGGGAAAGAAGTAAGAGATAGCATCACAGAAGTGAGCAGGCACTGACAGGGACACTGAAAGTATGTAGAAAAAAAGGGGAGTTATTTCAGATAAGTTATCTTCCAAAAAGAGGCGGGACTGGTCATCATAAATGATAACAAATCATGACAAAAATCTTGCAGGAGTCTCGTCTGCTCTGCCACTCTTACAGACAGAACTCTAATCCAACTTTCATGAAGTATAATCTAACAAAAGACTCCTTCTCCTCCTGGCATGCTATGAAACCACCAACTGTCAGGTGCTTATCAGTCATGAGGCCAGAAAAAGAGTCAGAGGTATGTTTGAAGCAGGAAAACGGATGGTTGAGTTGATGCGTAGGAAGTTTCACAGTAATCATTTCCTCTGCCAGCTGTGGTTTGAGTGTGAAAAGTTATTTCCAACAGCCTCCATGTGTTTGAGTCACACTGGCTTGTTTCTCGGTGTGTGGGTGGGGGGGGTTTCAATCAAAGTTGATGTGTCACTAAGCTGGGCATGCACACTGCTGCTCCATGCAGTACGATGAATAGAGAGATCAGCCAGGCAGACACACACAAAAACATCAAGCAGAAATTATAGTTTGTTGTCGTTCTGTTCAGGTTATTTCCCCTTATGTCTAAAGAAAGAAATACTGGTATACTGACGTGCCCATACAGTTTACCTGGTTACATATTTTCAAAGTGGAAAAAAAACTTTAAATTGTTAAATATTTTTTACGAACTCCTTTAGCCATAAAACTAAACGAAGAAGAATATCTGATTTATAACAACTGTAAATAATTTCAATCCAAAAAGCCTGAATTTCATAGAATTTTCTATGAAACTATTTAAAGCTTTACCACCAGATGGCAACAAGAGCTGCATGTGCCCCATCATTCAACCCCTCCTGTTCTCAACAGTGAGTAAATAAAGATGTTTGTTTTTTGTTCTATAGAATAATTATTTTCTTTAACAGTTTGTAAAAGATCTTTAAATGCTGACTGAACACTCAGCCTCAGTTGTACGTCAAAGGACACAAAACTTCCTCTGTTTGAGACAGTAATCTGAAATGTGAATGAGTGTTAATTTTATTTTGTCCAGCAGATGTCAGTGGTACAACACTACTTTTTGTACTTAATACATTAAGGCAGGTCATCGTCCCAGCATATTTTGGGGTGGCTCTGTTTTTTTCTGTCTTTCTGTCTTTTGGCTTCTGTTGTATTTTACACCTTTTACAGACTTTATGTGTTTTACAGTGTTCTTGTATTTTGATGTTTTTTACAGTGTTCTGATGTGCTGTTTTTATATTTTTTGTGTTAAATGCATATTACTGTGTTCCCATGAGGTTTTTTTTTTATGTTTTCAAGTGTTCTTATGTGCTTTTTTAGTGCTTGACATTATTCTCATTTGCTGTTTAGGGGATATATTTTTTTTGTGTTTATACTTTTTACCATTTCAATTTACTGGAAAGAATGTCGGTGAAATTTGTTTGTGTTTTTTGTCATATGTTCTATGAATAAAACTAATGTATTCGTTTACCAAACCAAACCAGGGACTAACAAAAGGTTAAGTCTTATCATTGAGTAATTTAAAAACTCTTCTTTAGTTGTGTGTGAAGAGATATTCACTGATTTATGTGAAAAATAAAGAATTCAAACTTAAAAGCCATTTGCATGTATTAAATGTCAAATCAATTGAAATTATACACGTAAGCAGCCGACAGGAGGCCGTGATTGGTAAACACACTCATTACTACTACTTTGTTTTGCCTTTCTTATTTTTCAAAAACCTTTTGAAATACAAAGACTATGATGTATTCATATATTCTTCGTTATAAAATGTTTTTGGAAAAAGCATAAGACCAGATCCCTTTTTTTTTTTCGAGAAGTTTCATTCCTTTTGACACCTTCTTTTTCTCATTATCCCAAAAATCACTTTATTCATTTTTCCATAATCGAGCAACAAATAATCTAACAAATCGCACATTTTAGTTAAACTTGAGTTATTTATACATTAAATCAGCTGAGTATGAGTAGTTTATGATCATAAACTGAGTTGTCAGTGTTTGAGAAACTGGATTTTCCGTCAACAGGAACTGAGCATGTGATCAGGTGAAATCTAACTTGGCTGTGTAAATGGGGTCAGAACCTCCAGACTGAGGCACAGAAACACTTGGAAACGGTTTATTGTGAAGGAGCCAAGAATGTTTATTAATCATGGATTTGAAATCTGTTAAAACCCAGAGGACAAAGGTATTTTTTGTGCTATAAACCTTGAAGGTAACCTAGTTTGCCCGTGAAATCCCTCCACCATGTCAGCGTTTGTCTTTTTGAAAATAAAAGGTTTACCCTGTGTTCTTAATAGGCCTCCATGATTGTTACACTGAAGTGGGTCAGAAGAGCAGCTCTTTTTTGTGTGTTTTCCCACATGACCCATGTAAGACTCTGCTTCCCTCTTTCAGACTGTGTTTAACTCAAAATATATAATTTGTAGATGACTGTGTTGACTTAAATATAAAAAATATGAGAAACTGGTGTTAATTTGAAAAGTAAAGTAATTTAATGTTTCTGGATAACTCTGATTTTAAGGTTATTATCTGTGTAACATGTCATGTTTAATCTCATTTGTTTGGCTACTTTGTGTAACTAAATATCAAAACTCCACTGACCTTTATGTTTTCTATATTGGGAGCTGTAAGGTGCCCTGCGGGGGCCAACTGGTGGTCGGAGTCGGCCTGTGAGTCTGAATCCTCAGGAAGACCATCAGGGGTGGATTGTAAACAGAATCCATTTTGATTAGGCAAGACCAGCAGGTAAATCTGAGTCTGGTGGGACAGTAAGACTCTGTGATCAGCGACTTCAGAGCATGGGATTCTTGTGTGCACGCAGAGCTGATTACTTATAGTAATGGTTCAGAAACAACAGAATTCAGTGTTAAGTGTTGAACTCTAGTGACTGTGGCTGGATTTTACAACCACCATCCCAGCACCCCTGGGTGGGGTTTCCAGGCACCATAGAGCTGCTCCTCACACAGGCGGCGCAAGCTGTGAGCCTAAATCAATCTCACGCAAGCGGGTGACTCTGTGTCTGTGGGGAAGATAGGACTGTAATCAGAGTGGGAGGCACAGA